GCCAGGCATAGAATAAGCATTAGATGCAATTATTATTATGAGTAAAAGCTTAGTACCAAGTCTATGTTTAAAAATAGATTATTGAATTTGTTATTGCTGAATTGTAACAGATGTTTATGGAACACATGCTGGGCATATTTTAGGCCCTAGGGCTAAGGCAGTGAGCCAACATAATGCTTTGCCCTCATGGGACTTACATTCTCACAGGAGAAGACAAACACACATATGTATAAACAAATATATAATTTAAATTACAGATTATCTTTACAGTCCCCACATCAACAACTAGTAGCATATTGAGTGTGGCCATTTCACATCTAAAGATATATGATATATTTCTCTTGTAAACCATTTATGTCCTTTGTCTATGTTTCTTTTTTTTTTTTTTTTTGAGACAGAGCCTCAAGCTATCCCCCTGGGTAGAGTGCCGTGGCATTACAGCTCACAGCAACCTCCAACTCCTGGGCTCAAGCGAGTCTCCTGCCTCCGCCTCCCAAGTAGCTGGGACCACAGGCGCCCGCCACAACGCCTGGCTATTTTTTGGTTGCAGCCGTCATTGTTGTTTGGCGGGTCCGGGCTGGGGATTCAAACCCGCCACCTTAGGTGTACGTGGCTGGCACCTTAGCCGGTTGAGCCACAGGCGCCGAGCCTTGTCTATGTTTCTTAAAGGGATGTTTGTCTTATTGATTTGTAAGATCTCTTTATATATTAAGGCCACTAACCCTTTGTAATGTAGGATTGCTGTCTTTTTCTAGACTTTTGCTTGCTTTCTATTTTTTATGGCATGTACCTATGTAGGGAAGTTAAAAATATATTGGAGTCACATCTTTCCATCTATGCCATCTGCATCCTAGAATAAAATAAACATTCACATATATAATCTCACTAATCTGATAAGAGACGGTGATAAATAGTGTGGCAGAAAGAAACATGGTGCAATGACAAGAAGTTGCAGGGAAGGGCCCTCATTAGATTATGGGGACGCCCTCAGAGAAGGTTTCTGAAGTGTTCCTGTTGCAAAGACTCATAAGGGGCTTGGATTTTTTTTTTCCACTTTCTTAAACTTTTATTTTTCAGATAATTATAGATTCACATGCAGTTGTTAAGAAATAACAGAGACCCCCTATTCTCTCAGTTTCCCCCAAGGGCAATATCCTACAAGTCTGTAGAACAATATCACAACCAGGATATTGACATCGGATACAACGCATGACCTTGTTACAGTTTGCCCTGGTTCGTCTGTATTCATTTGTCTGTGCCTATGTACCTGTGTGTGTATGTTCAGTTCTATGCCAGTTTTATCTCGTGGGTAGGTTTGGTGTCCCCCACCATAGCTGGGAATAGCATAGCTCTGTCGTCAGGAGGATCCTTGTGTTGGCCTTTTATAGCCACACCCAACTGCCTTCCTGCCCCCCCCAACCCTTGGCAACCGCTAGTCTGTTTTCCATTTCCATAGTTTTGTGACCTCAAGAATGTAACATAAATAGAGTCATACAGCCTGTACCCTTTTGGAATTGGCTTCTTTCCCCTCGAGGCCTGGATTCTGTTCAGAGTCAGAGATGCTCCTCTTTGATCAGCCGTTGGACTCCTGAGGATCTGTGACACCCCAACCCCCAGCCTCTGCCTGCCTCCAGCCACTCGCCCCCACCCCCAGGTGAAGAAGCCCTTCAGGAGCCAATATGATTGAGTGGTGTCAGCTGGCAGTTCATGGCCTTGATTTAGACTTAAAATGACACTGGAGAAGAGGCAGGGTGACCACGTCTATAGTGACTGCTAACTACCTCCACCTGTGAGCGTCTCTTAGCCCTAGGATGAGTTTTTGAGAAATTTGCCACTCCATTGCTCAAAGACCCTCAAAATCTGCCCACTGTTTAGAGGAGGGGCCTTTGACCCAGAATCCTCACATGAGCTGCAGAGGATCTGTGAACTCCTAAAATGGAATGCAGTATTAAATGTGTGCTCTTTGCTAGAAAGAGGGTTTAGAGTTTGCATCAGATGCTTAAATGGATCAGGGACCCCCCAAACTTCAGGGGCTTTGGCTTCTAAATGGGCTCTCTAGAGCCTGAGTGCTGGGTTCAAACCCTGGGACTATCACTGCTGTGCAATGTGAGGCAAATCACTTAACCTTTCTGCTTCTGTTGCCTCTTCTGAAAATGGGAGAAATAGTACCTATTTAACCCAGTATTAAGTGAGTTCATACATGTGAGAAGTTTAGAAGAAAACTTGGCCTGTGGTAAATACTGTGTGTTTGTTAAGTGAGTGATGAGGCTGCCAGATGAAGGAGGGCAGGATGTTTTAGATAGAGCCTTTTCTAATTTCTCTGGGATGCCCAGGCCCTCTCTGTGTTGGTTGTCATCACAGGAGTTTTTTCTTCCAAAGGGATGCGTGGGTGTGGTTGGGCACTGCTACCTTTCTTGTCCTGGATCTCAGACCTTTGTTAATATGACCTCAGGTGACTTTTTTTTTTTAAAGCTTCTGCCTCACACTTGGCTCATGGGAATTTTATGGACAATAAAATCACCAGGCCTTTTCTGCTGCTCAGTCAGGCTTTCTGGTCCTGGGCTTGGACAACTGATGTTTGAAAGTGACAAACAGAATGGCCAGCTCTTCCCAACTTATTTCATTTCATCTTGTTGGATTCAGCCTGTAGTTCTAGGAGAAGTCCAAGGAACTGACATTGGAGTATGCTTGGGCTCAAAGCAGACAGGCCTACCTGGGTTCTGATTCTAGCTCTGCCTTCTTTTTTTTTTTGAGACAGAGTCTCACTTTGTTGCCCTCTGTAGAGTGCTGTGACATCACAGCTCAAACTCTTGGGCTCAAGCAATTCTCTTGCTTCAACCTCCCAAGTAGCTAGGACTACAGGCACCCACCACCATGCCTGGCTATTTTGTTTGTTTGTTCAGCAGGCCCAGGCCAGGTTCGAACCTACCCAGCCCTGGTGTACTTGGCTGATGCCCTAACCACTGAGCTGTGGACGCCGAGCCTGGCTCTGCCCTCTTGGCCAGCTATGGGACCTGGTGGGCAAGTTACTTGACCTCTCTGTCCTCGGTTTCCTTACCTAGAAAGTAGGATAGCAACCTGTCCAGCAGGATTCTTGGGCAGATACTAAAGAAGTTGGCAAAGTGTCAGGTATAAGTGCTGGACAAGCAGCATTTTGTTTACACAAGCCTTGGCTCAAAATAAGGAAGCTGTTTCCAGTAGTCAGGCTTGCTCAGCTGTGACCTGGGAGTGAGTGCTCCGTCCATGGACGGATGGAAACAGAAACTGGCAGCATGTCAGAGACGGGGTATTTGCAAGGTATCCTTGTCTAGGTTGGCAGTTGAGTTAAGCGAGTAACCACTATCACCCCTTCCAGCATGTCAGGATTCAGAGTAGGAACTTGCAATGGTCTCCTCCTACCGTGTGCTTGATGAGGACCACCTGGCAGTTACTCCTGCTAATTCCTTCCTCTTCTGCATCTTTGTCATTTGTTCCCTCTGAGGTGCAGGGAGGCCTCTTCTCTTGCTGCATCTGTGGCATGATTTCCCTGAAATGCAGCACTCACACATCCTGAGAAACTACCCAGTGTGCATGTGTATGTGTGTACATGTGTGCCTGTGCAGGCATGCACATGTCTGGGTGTGTCCTCCACAATGGAGCAAAGCAAGCAACCCCGGCTGAGTGCTGGGATGTTGTAATCAACCCCACGGGGTTATTTGACTCCCTTTGGAGTCCTCACTTTGGAGGGCTTTATTTCAAAAGTCCTGCTGTGTGACCCTGAGTAGACATCATAGCCTCTCTGTTGTTCTGTATTCAAAACTGAGGCTAAAGGGACAGCTTCGGTATCTCTGCCACAGGATGCTGTGAGCATCTGTGAACTTGTGAGAGTGAAAGTTACTGGGACTCTGCAGAGGAAACCGATGTCAGGGACCCACCACCCCACTCCCACTCCTCCTCCCTCAATCTTCACTGCAACTCTCAGGGAGGAAGATGGGTCCTGAGTGTGGGCTTTGAGCACGCCTCCCCTTGGGGAATGTCTAGGCAGCAAACGAGACAGACCGTGGCCATTGGAGAGGCAGACAATTTTAAAAGGAACAGTTCTGTCACACTTCCCTTGTCCTTTGCAGCCATGACAGTTTGGGAAGAATGCAGGCCAGTTCCTTTGCTGACTGTCTGGCAGTTTAGGTTTGTTCCATGATTCCTCATGATTTATGCATCTTTGGCAGGAACATCAGAGAAGTGACGCTGTTGCTCTTCTCCGGGCACGCAGAGAGCTCATGGCACTGATTGGGCCCCTTCTGGGTGGTTGGCTTGGTTCACTTGGTTAAGATGTCTGCTAGGTTTATGAATTATAAAGTTCATATGTATTTTGACTCTTAATAAATAATTAATTATAGTTTTCAGGGAGATATTCTAAGGCTGCTATAGTAAAATAGAACTTTCCCTTCTCTTCCATTTATTCATCTATGTCTCCACAGAGTCCTAGACTTTAAGGGTTACAATTGGTTTATTTATTTATGTAGTATTTATTTTGATGCTCTAATTATGCCCATTTTGACCAATTCAGGCTGGCTCCTGCGTCCTTTCTAACATGTCCCTGTCATTCCTTGTGTGCTTTCTTACTTTCTGGCCTAAGAATTCCAACTTACTTGGTAATTTCCTTTCTCCTGGAATCAACCATTTCTTTAAGGAGCTCTGAATGAAAGTTCCTTTCACTGCAGAATAGTATTTAGAAGCCAAGACCTGGGTGCTAGGACAGCACGGTGGTAAAATGCAGTGAATGATCCCGGATCGGATCCTGGACTTAGAAAAGGCATCCTCGAGGCAATTAACAGCAAGTAAACAGGGTCTGTGGATTAGATGGCTGTGATCAATTAATTTCCTGATTTTGATGGTTGTATCGTGGCTATGTAGAGAATGTTGTCCTCATTTTTTTGGATATACACACTAAAGTATTAGGGGTAATTTTTTCACAATAGAGGCATAGGTGTGTCTATGTCTCATAGACACAGGCTCCTCAACCTAACTATACTGTTATGTCCCAGTAAACCCGTCATAAGTTAAAATACATCTAATACTCTTGGCCTACCTTAAACATGCTCAGAACACTTACATTAGCTTACAGTTGGGCAAAATCATCTAGCACGAAGCCTGTTACATAAGAGAGAGTTGAATATCTCATGTTACTTATTGGACACTATGCTGAGAGTTAAAAACAGACTATTGTGTGGGTACTCAAAGTATGGGTTCTCTTGAATATGTATCACTTCCAGACCATTGAACAGCTGAAAAATCACAAGTTAAGACCCATCTGTATATGAGAGAGAGAGAGAGAATATGAAAAGAAGGATGGGAAGATCCCTGCCCTCCAGGAGGAAGGGACAGTGAAAAGAAAGGTGTAGATGTAGGAATAAGTTTGGTGTGTTTGAGGAGCAGCAGGAATGGAGTGTAGGTGGCAAAAGTGGGGTGCACAGGTGAAAGTAGGGCCCAGATGGAGAGGGAGGTGGGGTCCAGGTAAAGAGGGAAGCAGGGTCTGGGTGGAGATGAGAGGCAGGGTCGGGGTGGAAAGGGTGCAGGCGCTTCAAGTGGGCTGATTCACTGGAGAGCTTCCAGCAGGGTTTGGGGTTGCTGAGGTGGCATCAAGCCCTCACTGTGCCCCAGATGCCGTGCTCAGTGCTTCAGACCCAGCACCTCATTTCTTCTTTGCATCATCATACCTGTGAGGTTAATCTGAGAGCCGTTCCTATGTCAAAGAGAAAGAAGGCAGAGCTCCACAAGATAGAGACTCTTCTTAACCTAGCTATGCCTCATATTCCATTATGGGAATGGTAGTGACGTGGGAGTTATTTATATCCTACCACTGCTCAAGGTCATGTCTGAGGTCTGATTTTTCACAGATGTCTGCCTCCGGAGAGCACATGTTATCACTCGGCGCACGGAGTTAGTCACTGCTGCAGACGCTGGTGTGCTGGGAGCTTGTCAAAAAGGGATGTGAATTTTCAGAACATTTTTGAAGAACCATCCAAAGCCAGGTAAAGACAACTTTACTGCACTACATCTTATACTAGTCATCTTCTTTTCTATCACTTCTCTACTCGTTATACCTTGTGCTGTAAAAAGAAAATACCAAGGTTATCGTTGTTGTATTATTTACGGGTCTGCCATTTTTGGAGCGTTAGCCAAGTCCCCTACCATTAGGACTAAGAATATCGTTTTCATTTTTTTTAGCTGAAATCATTTTACAAGTCTCAGGATGCCTCGAACTCTAAGTTTACATGAAATAATTGACCTGTTAGAGACAGGTGAGAGCATAGAAGCAAGTGCAATAGGGATACAACCCCCTGAAAATGCTACAGCACCTGTTTCTGATGAGGACTTGGGAGACAAGAAGGTGGAACAATAAAAAATCTGCCAAATTCTTTGCTGCACGCACCTGCATATCTGATTCAAGATAGCTGTGATGCTGAGTCTGACGCCAACGATCCCTCAGACACACCTGAAGATGCCTCTCTTGACGACGAAGTTCCATTACGTCTACTGCTCAGCAACCTCCTCCATCAAAGAAAAAGAAAGGGACAAAAATTGTTCGCAAATGGAAAAAAGCTGACCCCGCTGCACAGCCTGTAGCAGGTAGAATGACAGAACCGCCAAACAATTTCTTCACCTAAATGAGAACTCCCACAGAAATTCTCGAACTTTTTCTTGATGACAAGGTCGTTGAACTCATTGTCACGTACTCCAGCTTATACGCTGCAAGTAAGGGTGTAGATCTTGGCTTGACTAGTTCTGAATTCAAATGTTTTCTGGGAATTATTTTTCTGAGTGGTTATGTGTCACTTCCTAGAAGGTGTATGTTCTGGGAGCAAAGAACAGATGTGCATAATGCACTCGTTAGTGCTGCCATGAGACGGGACCGCTTTGAAACTATATTTTCGAATTTACATGTTGCTGATGATGCAAATTTGGACCCAGTGGATAAGTTTTCCAAGTTGCGACCCCTTATAAGCACACTCAATGAGAGGTGTCTGAAGTTTGTTCTAAATGAAACATATCTCAGTTTTGATGCGTGCATGGTTCCTTATTTTGGTCGTCTCAGGTGCAGTTTACAAGAGACACGCCATTCGGTTTGGTTATAAGTTTTGGTGTGGTGCAACTCGTCCGGGCTACATTAGCTGGTTTCAGCCGTATCAGGGTACAGACCCAAACGCTAAACACGAGGAATGCGGTGTTGCTGCATCACTTGTCTTGCAGTTTAGTGAGGCACTTACAGAGGCACACCCTGGGCAGTACCACTTTGTATTCAAACACTTTTTCACCAGCATTGCATTTCTTGATCAGCTCAAGTCAATGGGACATCAGGCAACAGGGAGAGTGAGAAAGGATCGCATTGATAAAGCTCCCTTGGAATCAGATGAGGCTCTGAAGAAGAAAGAATGAGGCACATTCGATTACCGAATTGATGGCAAGGCAATATTGTCTGCAGATGGAATGATAACAGTGGCGTGACTGTTGCCTCATCTGGTGCTGGTATTGAGCCCCTGTGTCTAGTTAATTGTTATTCCCAGAAACTGAAAAAGAAGATCCAAGTCCAGCAGCCAAACATGATCAAAGTGTATAAGCATTTCATGGGAGGCGTAGACAGAGCTAATGACAACATTGATAAGTATGGGGCATCAATCCATGGAAAGAAATGGTATTCAAGCCCTCTTTTGTTCTGTTTTGAATTGGTCTTACAAAATGCTTGGCAACTGCATAAAACATGATGAGAAGCCAATGGATTTTCTGGAGTTTCGTCGGCGTGTGGTATGCCATTATCTGGAGACCCATGGTCATCTTCCAGAATCTGGCTGGAGAGGTAGACCTTCTCAGAAGCATAATATTGACTCGCGTTACGATGGCATGAATCACATGATAGTCAAACAGGGAAAGCAAACTCGGTGTGCAGAATGTCATAAGAACACCACTTTTTGGTGTGAAAAATGTGATATGGCCTTGCATGTGAAGTGTTCTGTTGAATATCACACTGAATAGCAGATGTCACCACCTCCTGAGATAACAAACATGATTTTATAGATTAGGTACAATGTAGCAGTGGTTTTTGCCTACTATTCCATTTTTGGAACACCCCATAACAATCGGATATAATAAAATGTTTTTCTCTTCCGATTCTTGTGTCTTGAATTTTTCTAGGTAACATATATGAATTTCATGCAAAAAAATTAAAAATTTCAATCTCCGGCATAATTAATGTCATGGCACCTATGTACTTACACTAGCCAAACAAGGCCTGGGAGCTGCTTTTTAAATTGGACTCCAAGACAGAGAATAACCGGGGTGTCAGGGATGGGCACTTGAGGTATTGCAGGAACTATAACCTAGTGTTTTGCTTTTGAGAAGGAATTTGACATGTGTATTACTCACCAAGATTGTTGGCAGGAGGGAGTGCACGCTTCTTGCTTCTGTAGGATTGTACTGCTAAAAAAAAATCTTAAATCTTAGTAATGGGTGGTGTGGCCTGAATGTCTTCTGCCCAAAGTCATTCCACACGGATTCAAACTTAATCCCCAGTGTGATGATAATGAGAGGCAGGGCCTCTTGAGAGGTGATTGACATGAGGACTTTGCACTCATGCTTGGGATTCGTGTCCTCATAAAGAGGCTAAAGGGAGAGTGCTGGCTCCTCCCAAAGCACGTGAGCGTACACTAACAAGGCTGGTGCCTTGATCTGGGACATCTCAGGCTCCAGGACTGTGAGCAATACATGGCTATTCTTTATAATTCCCCAGTCTCAGGTGTTTTTTATTTTTTATTTTTTACAGTAGCCTAAAGAACTAAAATATTGGTAACTTTATTTGAGCCTTTATCGTGTTCTGCTCACTGTTCAGGGCTCCCCTTCTGTCAGCTCACTTTATTCCCACAGTACTACAAGGAGGCTATTATTAGCCCCACTTTACAGATAAGGAAACTGAGGCACTGAGCACAGCTCTCTCAAGGTCCACCTCTAAAAAATGATAGAGCACTTAAGCTTAAGGAAATAATCAGAGAAATGTGTGCAGATAGGTCTCCAAAAAGGAGCACACTCAAGCACCTCTTGAGACAGGAGTTCTGTGCTCAGCTCTGGGCTTTGTGGGTCTGGGTGGTGGTTCATGATCATAGAGGGAGCTCACTAAACAGAGAGGACCCACTGTCAGCAAAGACTCCAATGGCCAGGGTGTGGGAGGGTGGCATCTGGAGTTAGGTGAGCCCTGGAGTCAGGTCAGCACTAATCTACCCGTTCTCTCAGCAGGTGCCTTAGCATCTCCCAATGGGGTGGCCGTGCTCTGGGCTCCTGTTCCCTGTGAGCTACCTGATCCTGGTGCAGGTGACAGGCTCTGGTAAGTCACCACCTCTCCACCATTCATTTGTTGTCTTTTAACTATGTGCCAGCGTCCTGGGCTGCACCAGTGAACATCCTAGCCTTACAGAGATGACTGTGTAAGAGGAGGAGACAGCTGATGACAAATCGTGTGATTATAAGTAAATTCTAAAGGCTGTTAGAAGGTGATGGGAAGAGAACTTAGAATAGAGTTAGGGCACCTACAGTGCATTTTACAAGGGTACATGTTAAATTTACTAAGTGTAAATAGTGACATTTTACTAGAGTAGAAATGTTTTAACACAATAACTTAAGAAAATGCGGTGAAGGCTATGTTAACCAGTTTGATGAAAATATATCAAATGGTATATAAAACCAGCACATTGTACCCCATGATTGCATTAATGTACACAGCTATGATTTAATAAAAACAAAAATAGAGTTAGGGGGGCTTGGGGAAGCTGGTGGAGGGGGAGATTACAATTTAAAATAGGGTGGTCAGGTAAGCCTCGTTGCAGTGCCCACTGAGCCAGCCTGGAAGGGGCACCATGAAGATATTGGGGGGAGGCCCATTCTTGGCAGAGGCCCTGCACTGAGTGGGCAGGGGGAGGAGGGTGGGCAGGAGGCAGGAAGGGGGGCAGTGAAGTAACAGAGCAGACAAATCAAGAAGGACCTTAGCAACAGTGCTCTGTTGTGTTAAAAAAAAGTCTCCTCTGGTGGGTTGGGGGCTGGTCCAGCAGAGGGGATGAGAGGCTTCTGGATCTAACACTCTGGAAGGTAGATCTGAGGACAGATTGGAACTGTGGTGAGAGAGAGGTATGTCAAGGATGGCTCCAAGAGCTCTGACCTGAGTGACGGGTGATTGACCTGTCACTCAGTGACCTGTGATTGACCTGTCACTTAGTGACCTGTGATTGTCACTTTTGGAGCACAGAAGGCCACAGGAAGGAATAGGAGTTAGTTTGGGACATAAGTTGAACTTGGAAGATATCTCAAACTGCTCCTTATCAACGTGCTTATTGATATTGATCAAATGTAAATTGATGTCATGGGGACCCAGTGCTGAGCCGGGAAGCAAGAAGGCCTGAGGGGCAGGGCTAGATGGTCAAGCACCCAGTGTTCACACTTCTAACCCTGATCCCATGGCCACTGGCCAGCTTGGAGGCAGCTGAAAAAAGAAGGACCCCTATCATCTCTCCCAGCCCGTCTATCTCCTCTCTCCTATTGGCCTAACCAGAGGCCCAAGGACAAGGGCACCTGCATGGTGAAGACTATGGGGACGGCCTCCTGAGTGCCGTGGGGCAGGGTTTGGGCAGATGGCACCAGCCCCCCACCCCCAGCGTAGGGCAGATGCTGCTGCATGTGATCCCTTTGATCTGGCCAAGGGCAAATGGTCAAGTTAGTGCAAGATAAAGACGCATAAGGTCCGTTCCCCTCTAACAGACCCTGTACCCGAAGATATTTCTTCAGCTTCAGGAATCACTCTGACACCCACTAGGGAGCTCCAGCAGCCCCAGGCTGGTCCCCTTGGTCCTATTTTGGGTAGTTTCTCACCTGCCTCTGTGTCATGTGTCGCTTGTTGGGCTCCCAGCTGCTCAGAGTACCCTGTGTCTCCGCAGGGTGCATGGAAGTGCTGCTTCAGCCCGCCTGCTTCTCCGACTACGTCAGCATCTCCACCTGTGAATGGAAGATGGCTAGCCCCATCAACTGTAGCGCTGAGCTCCACCTGTCATACAAACTGGACTTTGGATCGTCTGAGTAAGCCTGTGCTGGAATGGGGCTTTGGGGAGGTTGTGCCCCAGGAGTTAGCCAGGTCTGGGCAGTGAAGTGCGTGATGCCAAACGTGCTTTGCTGTGACTTACTGGGTACTGTGTTAGAGGTGAGGTCACAGCTTAGGTGGCAATGCGTGGTGGGCATGTAAATGTGGTTGGAATATTGGACTAGACCAATAGTTGTCACATTTTTTGGTCTCGGAACCCTTGGCACACTTAAAAATTAGTGAGGACCCAAGAAACTTCTGTCAAAGTAACTTACATTTTTTGATATTTACCTAATTAGAACTTAAAACTGAGAAATTTTAAATCACAGCAACATGCAAGCCCACACTCAGCAAATCATCAGCACGATGATATTGTCGTATGTCATGTAGCCTCTGGAAGAGTCCACTGTTTGCACTTCATGAAAATAGTTTGACCTGATGGACCCCCAGACCACACTTTGAGAACCAGTATACTAGACCATAGATTGAGGGTATAGTGTTGATAGTGGAGTTCATTGTGATGGTAGATGGGCCATGGGACCTGGGGCTGGTGTCAGGTGGTTTGCTGAGCTGTTCATTGGACATGGGGTGTTCTGTTACACTGGTGCCCGGGATGTGATTGGGTCATGCATTTACAGGGCACATGGAGGCTATACAGCATACAAGCATGTAGGGTACACTGATAGAGGTGGGATTCCACAGTTATACCAAGGCAGATGAGCTGTGCTTTAGTCTATTATCTAAGAGCAGGAATTGGTGAACTATGGCCTGTGGGAAAAATCTGGTCCACCACCTGTTTTTGTAAACAAAGTTTTATTGGGACATAGCCAGGCTCATTCTTTTACATATTTTCTATGGCTGCTTTTGCACCACATCAGCAGAGTTGAGTAGTAGCGACAGAAACTATACGGCCCTCAAAGCCTAGAATATTTACTATTTGTCCCTTTACAGAAGTTTGCAGATCCCTGGCCTAGCCTGGGAGACATGAGTTGGCTGTTTGAAGTGGCACGTTGGGATTGTGCTGCAGTGCAGGGGTTATGTACCTATGGGCAGCCTCATAGGTACATAGGTACAGCCTCGGCCCTCTGTACACCAGCATGAGCTATGCTGCATAGAGCATGCTGGGCACACACACGTGTTGTTATAAATTAACTAATACTGCTGATTCTTCCTTTTGATGGCTTTTAGGGATGAACTAAGTTTCAGGAATAGGGCATGCCCCTCAGGGGGCATGAGGAGAGTCCATGGTATGCATGCCGAGGGGGTGTAGCCAGTAAGAGAGAGCCCTAGGCCACTGTTCCCACCATTTCCAAGCCACCAGATCTGTCCTCAAGTTAAGGTGACCAGGAAGCTGGAAGAGCGTGCAATTCCTGGAGGCATGTCCTGGGCACAGCAGTGGGTCACAGCTAGCCTGCATGTGACCAGCCTCACCTAATCCCTATGTCTGCAGAGCCCACACCTGTGTCCCCAAGAACAGTGAAGACACAGGGTGCATGTGCAACATGCTCACGGGTGATGTGGTCGGAGGGGACACCTATATGCTGGATCTGTGGGCCGGGCAGCAGCTGCTCTGGACTGGCTCCTTCAAGCCCATCGAGCACGGTAAGGGGGTGTGAGGGGTGCGGGGCAGGTGCCACAGGGGGGTCCAAGTAGCAGGGGGAAGCTGCCTCTGTTTTCCCGAATCTGATGAGTTTTCTGCCCCTTTCTGGGCCTCATCCTCCCATCTTCAAAATGAGATTCAGTTCAGTAACATGTCAAACCCCCTTCCCCTGAGCTGTTTCAGCCTTCCGAATTTAAGTGCTCGGGAAGGTGTGTTGAGATGAGATGTGCATTATGGAAGCTGAGCTTGCCGCAGATCCAAAAATGCACAGGGGCCGTGTAAAGTGGCTCATACCTGTAATCCCAGCACTCTGGGAGGTCTAGGCAGGAGTTTGAGAACAGCCTGAACAAGAGCAAGACCCTGTCTCTACTAAAAATAGAAAAAACTAGCCGGGTATAGAGATAGGCACCTGTAGTCCCAGCTACTTGGGAGGCTGATGCAAGAGGATCGTTTGAACCCAGAAGTTTGAGGTTGCTGTGAGCTGCGATGATGCCACAACACTTTACCTAGGGCGACAGAGTAAGACTCTGTCTCAAAAAACAAATAAACAAACAAAACTGGGAACTGTTCTTCTGTCTTCTGTTCATTCATCAGCTGCTGCTTCTTCAGATAGTCTCAACCATGGAAGGCTGACCTTATCTGAGTACCTCGAGTCCCTGCCAGAATTCTTCCATAAGCTTGCTGGGGTATAATGACAGGAGTTTAAACCACCACTCGTAGCTATGTGACCTTGAGCAAGTCACCTTACCTCTCTAAGTATCAGTTTCTGGAAGAGAGTTGTCATCTGAACCTGCCTCAGGTCACATAGCGGGTCTCAAAGCAGAGCTCAGCACAGCTGAAAACAGCAGAACTCATATTCTTCACCACTCCTCCTGTCATCATGCTGGTGGCCAGCAGCATATTTAAACTGACCCATGAATGAACTTTATTTTTTTTATTAGATCATAGCTGTGTACATTGATACTGTCATGGGGTACAGTGTGCTATTTTTATATACAATTTGAAATATTCTTATCAAACTGGTTAACATAGCCTTCATGT